ACATGCTTGTGTTAACATTTTAAGCCCAATCTACACTCTTGCTGATGTTCGTTTAGATCAGCAGCACATACCGGTAAGATAATATCACCTTCAAAAAGCTTCCTTCCCATTTCTGAAATGAGATAAAAAAACATTTAGGCCAGAGTAACATAACAAGAACTACAATATGTTTTTTTCAAAGACCATGCAAACTATCAGGCTGCTTCATCAACCAACCCATTTCTCTTTAAACAGCAACTGCCCAGAAACAAGGAAACAAATAACCATTGCCTTACTATAACATGCCAGTCCTCCATCTGCAGCTAAGGAGGATTTCGGGTTGAATTAAGATTTCCATAACAATTTTGTAACAGCTGCCCAGAGAAGATGTTATTATTTTTCCCAGGCTTGTATCCTGAAACAGCTGTGGACTTCTGAACATTGTAGTTGATATATAGGTGGAATGGATTTGTCCAGAAGTTAGGCATTTAATAGCCTAATTAGTTAGCTAACCTAGGCTAATCATCTGGGATTCCCCACACGCTCAAAGGACAAAGACAAGGATTCCGGAGAGGGAAGAGGTTCAGTCCACCTTTTCAACCACATAAGCCTGAACCAAGCTCAGATTGAAGCAATTAAATCTTTGTGCTAAGTGTCTCAGATCCCTTTACAGCTGTGTGTCCATCCAATTGCCAAACATAGGTGTCTGGTGCCATTAGAGATGCACAAGGGTATCCAAAAGATCCACATGGACTGGTAGATACAGAGTTTGAGACTCCTTTCCTTTCTAGAGTGGTGCTGGAGGGGATGGATTTGAACTGGCAACAGACACCTGTGTTTTAAGCAGCTGATCCATATCTTCCAGGCTTTAAAAACACAGCATTCAAGACTCTTATTTTATACCTTTATTTTTTTAAGGTGCCAAATTCCCTGCTCAGAGCTGGGCCCAGACACCAGCCACTGTATAGGCCTGCTAGTGTAACGTTTTCATTTAATGCCCTCGTTTAAGCACAATCCCTCCATAGACAGTTCATCTTCAGATCTTTTGTTATAGAAATAACTTATATTCCCCTCACATACACATGAAGAGAAGAAAAAAATGAAAACAAAAAAACCCAAACCAAACAAAACTCCAACCCTACACCATGGTTTCTGTTCTGTCAGCAAAACCAGAGGAAACCTACACCAGAGCATAAAGAATTTATCAGGCAATGTCAGGAAATGAAAACTTGCTCAAGGCAATGCCACTGAAACCCTGGGGTGGAGATGAAGGTACTTAAGCTTGATATCTTGGTCATCAGTCATGCGAAACCAACCAAGTCACTTAAGATAAACACACATCAGTGAAGCAGAAGTTGAATTAAAGCCACTGCCAAGGTTTCTCCAGGAGACGTACTGCAGAAGAGTGCAGTGGGGAGGGGTGCAGGTTCAGTCCAGGGGTTGTTGACCCTTCCCCAGGAGCACTTGAGTGTGGTTCCAACTTTAAGATTAAGATCCTGGGCTTCCTACAAAATTATCCTTGTGGAAGTTTCCTGGCCTTTCCATCTTCCCTTTCCAACACCAACCTTTTATGGACTTTTCTGTCCTCTGCCCTATGCCCTGCTCCTGCCCTACCATCTTCTCTGATTGCTACCAGACTCCAAAGCAGAGGTCTTCTCCCTTCTCTCCAGAAGTACCTGGGGTTCATCCCCCACATTTTAACTGCCCTGCCCCTGTAGCCATGATACATTTGGGATTTTTCTCACAGAGGAGGGAGCTTTCAGCCCCCTCTGGTGCCAGCACATCTGCCAGACTTGTGGTCCCCAAAGGCTAGCTCAGGTCTCAGTAATAATTCAACACTCTGCTTGCGTACTGTCCTGACTTACCTGAGTTTATTTCTGGAATGTCCTTTCTAAGCTGCCCTCCATCAACATCATGAGCTATCAAAAGAAATAATACACCTAAGTTAGTGATTAAATGACATGAGTTGATATAATTCACCATTTGATGACTGATAGACTTCCACTAACATAAAAATATTACGTCCTTACCTCTGTCTTCAGCAGAGCTTTGGATCTGAAACATAGAAAGTACAGTTTCAAAATCACAGACAAATGAAGTGAAATCTCACCCTGATCCCAAGCCAGAAAATGGAGAAGCAGGTGGGAATACCATAAAGGCAGAGGAACAGGTAATCAGTGCTGTGAAACAACATATCCTCCAGGAATCCATTTCAGAAGATCATCTGGTGCTACCTGCCAGTGTAGATATAGTGTCCTGCAGGTGAATAGCTTTCAGAAGAACTGATAAGGATAAGCCATAAAAAAAGTTGAACTTTAAAAGGAAAAGCAGATTTTAACCTTATTAAATATTGTCGTAAGCCAACCCGATAAGCAATCTGCCTCCTCATTTTATAACTATTCTTAGCATATTAACCCTTGTAGCAATTGGGAGCTATTGAACTATTTAAAATTCCTGTGACTTCTTCAGAGATAATCTCACTCTTTTCTTCTGCTTTACAAACCATCCTGTCATGAGACTACCAAAGCTGTTGAGTACGGAAGTAACAACCTCTTCAAAAGAAGAGGCTTATGGTCTGCAACCTGAATAAACCACTTTAAGAGAAGGTTTGCTTGGTGGGTGGTTTTTTTTTTATTCCTGGAAACATCTCGGTAGATGTAAACAACTTTTTGTTTTCATCTGGTTCTATGGATAAAGCATCATCTTTAATGTAAAAATAGCGTTACTTTTGTAATCAACAAAATGCCAGCCATCAAGTTCTAGCAAAATGTGTGGGTTTGGGTTTCCTCAGGAGATCGTGAAGACTTTGTCTCAGAGTAGGAGTACAGCGAGGGGTCCTGGTTTGGTCCCACTCACACGCCTATGAAGCCATGTGCTCCCAATGTTTTGCACGGGAATCCCACCCAGGTCTTTCCCTGTGAACACAAGCCACCTTGAGAGTCCAGGGTCTCTACAGCTTGCACGCTCCATACCAGCGAGTGCAAAGGAGGAGTTAATCCACACGCTTCATCAGCATCTTTCCCCCAGAGGCATGGTCACAAACCATCCCATAAAACCAGGGCCACAAGAGAGGAAACCGACCGGATTCACCAAAAAGCAACCATCAGTTCCCAGCCCACCTGTCACAGGAGCAGCAGAATGGGGGTGACAGGGAGAGAAATCGCCAAATCAGCCTCCTGAAACACAACCTGCAGGGGAAGAAAATCCACTAATGGCCACTTGGCACGAGCCAGCCCTGACTCCTGGACTCGAGGGCACAGATCGAAAAATAGGAACAGATTTGCCTCCTTGCCACCCAGTCTGTAAAAGTTCCACCCTCTTTAGACATGAAGGACATGGCAAATGAGATACAGAGAGAGAAGTGGGTGATTCATTAAATGCTGCTTCTTACTGATACCTGCTGCGGGCCAGCGGCATTGTGTCCAGCGCCCATAAGGTTGATCATCACACACACACACACACAAGAAGAGTCTGATCACCATCACAGTTTGACGATTTCATTCAGGTCTTGCAGGTCTGAAGGACCTGGAGATCATCTGGTTTTACATTAATTCTTGCATTTTTAAAGTCAGAGAATTGGGTTGTTTTCCTCAAGCAATTCTGTTTTGAGCTTCCAGACAATATCCATAGACAATATCCATCCATAAGTGCAGCGACCCTCTCTAACATCATCTCAGTCAAGCATGACCAGCTTTAAATGATCCATAATATTTTTGAATGACTGCATCCAAACCTTGCTATGACATTAATGTTTTCTAGGCAATATGAATAATAAAGGGTGGTGAAGATCTCACTAGTATTTCTATTAAAAGCCACTGGGATATCTGAATGCATTTCATGGAGACATGTGGTAGGTACCACGTTTTGTTGTTGAGATGAACTCCAGGCGTTCTGTAAAAGCTTTTCAGTGTGTTAATGCTGCAGCAAGGTCCTTAGCAAAAAAAAATGCAAATAGGAGCATGTGATAATAATAATCAAAGAGTAGTGTTTGCATTCATATCCCCCAGAAAACAAGTGCATCATTCTGAAGAAAGAAAATGCTCTTGGTTTATTTCTTGTAGCTATATAGCTACTTGTGATTTCAACTTTTCCTGATTACACCACAGCATCAGCCAAGATCTAATTGGCAACTGTGGTCCCAATGTGCAAGGTCCAACATGCAAGGTCCTCTACGAACCCAAAGTGTATAGGCAGTCCATGCCCTACAGAACTTAACACACCTTGCTTGTTAAAAACCCCACAGTTTTCAGGACTTAAAGTCATTTGGAAGCTTGAGGGTATTTCAGTGTGGCGGGAAACCAGCATGGTCCAATCCCTAAAACACTTCACATTGCTAGCAGATGAGTTTTGAACCCTGGCACATGGACTCATGCTTATTTTTGCCCTTTTCCTCTATATGCTTCAACTTAAACCTTTAAAAGAAAGCCTTGCTTTTCCTTCAATGCCCTCCCCCTACTATGTGGATCTTCAGTTACGATTAAGGCATTACCATTGGGGAAATTAACACGGATTTCAGTGCCCATGGAGAATCAAAATGAACTCCAGTTTCCAGCATCTTGGTTGAATTTTGCAGCTCCTGGACTCTCAGATGAAAGAGGACAGCGACTCCCCTGTTATTTGCTGAGCGCACCCCTCTGTGTGAGTATCGCAGGTGACAAAGGGACAGAAGAACCCAGGTTGTGAATCCTGACAGTGATCAAACATGGGACAGTCACTAAATGACAACATTGTCCACTACAGAAAAGCATCTACATTGTTTGTGTCACCCAACACAGCTCTTCTGAACAGAAATTCAGATACTGAAGACTGACGCTGATACCAGGTAAGGGAATACCCAGCACATCTACATTCCTGCACCTGCCCTGCTCTGAATAGGAGCAGCACCAAAATCCCCACCACCACCAGCTCTATAAACTCCCGTTCCCATACGCGATGCTCAGGGAACAGCAGCTGCTGACCTGCAGTAAGCATTGGTGCAACGACCTACTTCTCTGGCACAGCACTGCAACCCATGTTGGAGGATGGAATCTTATTACTCTCAAGATAAATTTAATGCCACTTCATATGATGCCATGGCTATTGTAATCATTGCATTTCAGGCATTTGCTGGCATGTGGATAAACACTTTCATTGTTTCTGTGGTTTGTATTGCCTTGGGTCAAAAAGAAAAACTTTAATGAGAACTTCTTGCTGTTTCTGGGATGCCCCAGATTTGGTATTTGTGCATCTCATGGGTATATTCCTTTCTTTCAATAATTTATCCCTGGTGCTTTTATGTTCACCCCATACCCCAACCATTTGCAGCTATTCAAAGCTTTTTAAATTCTTCCAGCTTGTGGGTTTCTGCCTGTCTTTGTGGCTTTTATTGTATAAAAATTGCAAATTTCAGGCACATCTTCTTCATCTACCTGAAAGTTAAAATGTTGATATTTTATTATAAAAAACAAGTAATTTAATCTCTAATGCAACTCTCCAGCCAGTATAGATGATAGAGATGTTCTATCTTCACCATCCAAGTTAAGAAAACTTCATTAAAATTCTTTGAACTAAATTATTATGAGTTAAATGAATTATTATTATCATTTGATTTAGATAATTCTTTGAGCTAAATTATTGTAAATAACAAAATAATTCAGAGCTAGTACATGGGCTAACTGCAAAAGGGGAATAACAATACTGCAAACTTTCTAAAAACACTCCGGTACTTGTTGATCGAAACTACTTAACTAAACAACACATTTATATCCATTTTGTTTCACATTTATTTCTGCTGCGGCTGTGTACTTTGTAATATTATGAGTTGTATCGCTATGTTGCATTGGTTTATAACTTATGCGTGAGTATGTTGATCACTACTATTCACTTGAGGTGGTTACTGACTCCCAAACCGCAATGCAGAAATGGCCTCGGGTTGGACAGGTGGGTTGGAGAGCCCACTTCCCATGCCAGCCTTACGTGTCCTCCCTCTGCCCCACTTCATGCAAAAACATGATTTCCCCTACTCTGTGTGACTCTTTTTCCCCTATAAAGGAGAGGCAGCCCTCTTGTAGGACAACAGTATGACGGACTCACTAATTTCTATGTACTCTCTATTAGAAATCAACCCAGAGGAAGGGTTTCTGCTCAGAGAACAGGATTGGCCCTGGGATGCTAATTTGAAAAGTTGAAGTGAAGGTGAAAAAACTTAGTTTGTAAGCTTTTTATTTTAAGGGTTGCCTTTTCTGCGGGCAAAAGAGCACTCCCTTCCCTTTTCCTCTCCATCCCCGCAAAAATGAAAGAGGAAGAGGTTAATGAGAAAAGTATAAGAAAGTGTTTTCAAACCATTAGCTTTCATTCTTTTCTGGCTTTTCCTGAAGTAGTAAAGCAAAAAAAATTACATAGATGTTGTTCCCCTAAAAAGAAAGGGTTTGAGTCATCTGATCAAAATTAGACGCTCAGAGCCCTTTGCCTTTAGCTGCAATTCAGATCAGATGCCAAACTCCACTTCCACAATAGGAGACACTCCTCGCCACCCACATTTCCCAAGGGAGGCAGATCTTAAACATCTCATCTGGACATATATCCACAGCTGAAAGGCCTTTAAAGGACCGGCACCACCACACCTCCCTTCTTTCCCTGCTTTTGCTCAATGCAGTTGATCCTTTAGCATGACAGTCCCCATCGCTTTCACAAAAAGACCACAGAAAATCCTTCTTACTCCCTACATCCCATGCGACATCATCCCTCAAAAGTCATATACCACAAGACTCAGCCGGCAAAAACATCTTCCAAATATTCTCACACAAAAGAATGCAGCCCCAGCAAACCATGCTGAAGACACCTTCTTCCATCTCCACGAAATCCCTGTGAACATGGTGCCCAACACAACCTCACCCCTCCCATGCACCAGCCCCATCCAGCTGGCATCGGAGGAGACAAGTTACAAAACACCACGGCCACAGTGCACAGCCCATATGCTGAAGTTGCTCTCTGGGGAGATGGGATGGTGTGCCCAGCCTGGAGGAAACTGTTCCTCAACTAGAGGACACTCCAGCAGCTGGCCACAGGGCTAGAAACAGGCCTGTTTAGTTTATCAGCATGGTAATAGGTGCTCTGTCCCATGTATGTCTCCACTTGCACTGTCACTACTTCAAGAGCCGGGTTAACTGTGGATGGAGTTGACATTTCACGTGGCTTGGAAAGTGCAAATGACACAAGGCAAAGCTGGAGCTCGACTCGTTTGCCCAAACGTAGGCATCTCGAGTCATCTGAGAAGTCCTAGGGTATCTGAGACATCGGCACAGGGTTGGGAGCTACAGCACAGGATCTTCTGGAGACCTGCAGGGTCAGCCTGGGTACTTGAGAACATCTCAAGTGGCATGAGATACCTCTGTGTAGACAGCTGAATTAGTCCCTGGAAATCTAGAAGAAGGAGATGGATCAGAGAGTTGTTGGTTGTGATTGCGATGCCCGAGTGTTGTGGCTGGGTGCGAAGGCACTCCAGAAGGACCAGGTTTGGGTAGTGGAGGGGAAGCAGAGGGGAGGGGAGGCAGACACATAAGGAGAGGGGAAGCAGACACGTAAAAGATGTCAGAAGTCAATACAAATGGCTGCCTGGTAATGGCATGGCACGAAAAACTGCTTTGGGTCAAATTCACATTTTTTATGATTGAGAAGTAAAACGGTTAAAAATGCTTTTGCCATGGAAAGTGCTGATGAGCAGAGGGATAGCTCAGGAGTGGTTCCACAGCATTCCTATGAGCATAGACATAAAAATGGCTGGGGGCACTGCTAAAAATAAGGTAGTACTCTGATTGTCTTGGCAGCCATGGGTGTCTGAAGGCAGTAGCAAGGAAGCATGTTTTCCCTTCTGCTGGGCCAGCAATGGTAGATACAGGCTGTTAGACCCATGCGTCCTGTAAAAGGTCAAAATCAATGTCTCCCATTCAGCCAGAAGAAGCAACTACACCCCACTCTCAAAGAAAAAAAAGGCAACACCAGAGGCTACAAGCCCCTGCAGAGCCTCCTGGTTGACTCAGGACCAGAACCAAACAAGCAAAAGCCACAGACATCACCAAAGTGAGCAGAACCACAGTCCCAGATGCTTTCGTGAATCAATTAGAAGCAAAACCAATTCCCTCTCAGACAATATGGGTAATTGCTGTCATTTCTGTAAATCTATACATTTCAGTGACTTAGAGTATTAGTATATTTAAACATCCTCAGCAGTTTTCTGATATTTGAGATCTGATACACATAGACGCACAGACGGACAGAAGCACATCTATCCTATTAATGACAGTATTTACAGTACATCACAAAGATGCATTCTTGTGGCCATCTGCTTCTCCTGTTCATCCGTATTTCACCCTGCAGATGCATCTGAGGTCAGCCAGTGTCTTTGCTCTGCATTGCAAGTTGTTGGCGGCACGAAATAGGTAGGGCACACTCCTGCTTCCCCCTTTTTTTTCGATTTTTCTTTGGAGCGGAGGATGCGTAGTTCTCCCAAGAACACGGTGGGTTTCTCTCAAGCTCTTCTTTCTTGAGTTCCCAGTCTTCATCTCTCTGGTCTAAGGGGATTCCTTTCATTGCAGCTGTCCTGCGATAGTTTCTGCTCTCCACCTCTGCTCTGGGGAAGAAAGCAAGAGTGCATCTTCACGTAGGAGCACAGCACAGTCACATCACCGATCATGAGCAGCCCATCTACAGGATCAGGGGATCGTGTATTTGTATGGCCAAAACACTGTCACCAGCAATACATGAGAAAACACTGAGGTTAATCCCGAATCTAACAGCATGCATCACCCCAAGCCACCAGGTACTCACTGAGAGTTGGGCTGAAGTGGGAAACCTTCAATAAAGATCTACAGCGAGATCGGACTTGTACCACTGGAATCATCATTTTAACCATAAAAAGCTCTCAAAGACTGACGCTGTGAATTTGTGTGGTATTAAAAAGACTTAAGCACATTTAATGCAATTGTACATGGTATATTAACTCACTGCAACCGCAACATTTCCATTTTCTTTTATTTTTTGCACTGCTTATTCATAAGTACTAGAAATTCTAAATGCCAAAATATCAGATCTGAAGACAACTGGAATTCTGGAGGATTTGCACATTATTCTTTATAGATGACCTTTTAGCCTCAGAGATTGTCTAATCTTAATCCAATTCAGCCCTGAAGTTTTCCTAAACTTTGCATTCAAATCCAGAACTAAACTTGACAATTCATCCCCATTTTTGTTTTTTTAAATAACAACTTGAATCAAGCAATGTCATAGAAATAAGGCTGTGCTGCGGAGGTTCAAATTTTGCATGGGAAAACATTACATAGAAGATACCATTTTCTCCAGCCCAATATCTCCATATGCAAATCATTCACAACTCTCCTTTGGTTGCTGGGGATTTAGCTGTGTTTTTCAAGTTGTCTCTATGATTTCAAGTGTGTGAAACCTGTTGGATGTCAGGCACTGAACCATCATCCATCCAGACCCTGGGATTTCCAAGTCAGCAGTGACTTTGCTCTTGGCATCTGTGATTTACCAAAGTCCTCATTTTTTTTGTGATATTCATATATTTTCTATTAAACAAACACAGACCCAGATCTTCACTGAAGGACACTGTACAAGCTGGTAAGCTGAAAATAAATGTAATTCACTGTAACTTTTCTGATAGCCTTGAAATATCAATGGTTTTCATTCCACTTCCCATTGCAAACAACCAAAGCAAATTAAAAAACACTTTCATCAAGACCAAAATGAATATATTCCTTTGAGCAGTAGAATTTATATTTTTTTATCATCTCAGTTATGGTTTTGTTAATCATGGCTCTTAAATATTTTTCCTATTAAGTGTTGTTAACTTTCTCTTTACAATCTTTACATATGCCTGGCACAGACACAGTCAATTATTTTGGAAAAAAAGTGACCTCAAACTAGAAAATAGATAGCTACTTTCTGCATTTTGTAGGCACTGAAGATTTTTAAAAGGATGAGTCCTTCACTCCCAAGTCATACGACACAGAATCATGGAATGGTTTGGGTTGGAAGGGACCGTTGAAGATCATCTAGTCTAACCACCAAGTCTAGTCACTGAAAGATAAACTGGTTCTCTTTCAAAAAATAGCAAAAGTCAAAAAAGGAAGACTTTCTTTTCGTTCTCATACCAGCACTAAGCAGGGGAAAGTATTGAAAAAACAGGATCCACTGCAGTGGGTGAACCTTGGCTGGCTGTCAGACGCCCACCCAGCCACTCAGTGCCCCTCCTCGGCAGGACGAGGGGAGAAAGATGGAAAAGCTTGTGGGTCAAGGTAAATCACAGGAGGAGATCATAGGGAGATCACTTAACAAGTACTGTCACAGGCAAAACAGACCTGGGGAAAATCAATTTAATTTATTGCCAATTGAAAATAGAGTAGGATGGTGAGAAACAAAGACAAAACTAAGCCACTTGCCTCCACCCCACTTCTTCCCAGGCTCAACTCTACTCCTTCATTCCCAACTCCTCTACCTCCTCCGCCAAGCAGCTCAGGGAGATGGGGAATGGGGGTTGTGGTCATTCCATAACACTTTGTCTCCACTACTCCTTCCTCCTCACGCTTTTCCCCTGCTCCAGAGTGGGTCCTTCCCATGGGCTGCAGTCCTTCAGGATCAGACTGCTCCAGCGTGGGCTCTCCACAGGCTTCAGTCCTTCAGGGCTGTCGTGGTTTCAGCCCAGCCGGTAACAAAGGACCACGCGGCCGCTCGCTCACTCCTCCCGCCCCCCTCCGGGGGGATGGGGGGAAGACGGAGGAGAGAAAAAAAAAAAACCAAACCTGGAACCTCGAGGGTTGAGATAAAGGCAGTTTACTGGAACAACACAAAGAAATTGCAACAACAACAACGGTACTAATGAAAAAGTATACAAAAAAGAGTGATGCACAGTGCAACTGCCCCCCCCCCGGGACCCGACGCTCTGCCACTTCCCCCACCGAAAAGAAGCGCCCACCCCCCGGCCCGCTCCCCATTTATATACTGAGCATGATGTCACATGGTATGGAATAGCTCCTTGGCCAGTTCAGGTCAGCTGCCCCGGCTATGCCCCCCACCTCCCAGGTTCCTGTAAAAAAATTAACTCTATCCCAGCTGAACCCAGGACAAGGGCACATCCAGCATGGGGTCCTCGCAGGCTGCAGGGTAGCCATCTCCTCCACTACGGTGTTCCACGGGCTGTAGAGGGACAACCTGCATCACCATGGTCTTCCCCACGGGCTGTGGGGGAATCTTCACTTACCCTGGTGTGGCAGGACTGTTTCTCATACTTTTTTCCTCATTCCTCACTGCCAGGCACTTTTTTTCCCTTTCTTAAATATGTTTCCCAGAGGCACCAACAGCGTAGCTGATGAGCTGAGCTGTGTCCTGTGGTGTATCCACCATGGTGTAGCCCCAACCTGTCCTCACAGAGACCCCGCTGGGTCCCACCACTGCCACGATCCTGACACAGGCACTTCAAGTGTAAATCTTGTCCAAGAGAAAACAAACCCTTTCCTCCTACCGCAGAGGTCTGAGTTTGTAGGTACTCAGTATTGATGCAGCTCTGTCAAAAATACCACCAAATATCAGGAAAAATCCTTTTTTCTGTAGTACAGCAGCTCTGTCACATCAGTGCAATGCTGTCCCAGCTGAGAGCACAGAGCAAAGCCAGCGGCTCCACACAGATGTGCTGCATAGCATGGGCTTACTATATATATATATATATATATATATATATATATATACATACACACACAAACATATGTTTGAGAGAGATGGTTGATGCCCCATGCCTATCAGTGTTTAAGAGGCATTTGGAAAGTGCCCTTAATAACATGATTTAATTTTTGATCAGCCCTGAAGTGTTCAGGCAGTTGGACTAGATGATCGTTGCAGGTCCCTTCCAACTGAAATAGTCTATTCTATTCTATTAAGTATCTGCTCCCAACGGCAAGAAACCTCTTTCTGTACACTTTTTAATATATATAAATACATACATACATACGTGTGTATATATATATATATATATATGCCCTGGGCTTAGATAGCAGGAGCCTTTGGTGCAGTTTGAACACTCAGCACTTTGCAGAGAGGCTGGCAGCAGGCATGGGCTGAGGGTCTCTGTGCTGGCTCAGCACCATCCTCGGCAGCTCACACAGCATCCAGGATAAAGCCCTTCTCGTGCAAAAAAAAAAATCCAATGCAAATTATGTGTTTGTTACTCAGAAGCAGCTGTGTTTTGAAGGCTGTTTCCTATTCTTTGCATGTCCATGCAAACCTCGGTGAGTGGCATGGATACTCTGTAGCAGAATATTCCTAATATTTACATGTTAAAAATATTTACGTGTTGTACAGGTAATATTTCCATGTTGATGCAAACGATCCCCAGCACAGAGCAGTTGCTCAGCCCAGGTAGGCAGGGGTATGTTCGTGCAGCCAGCAGCACCTGGGATCAGACCACAGTGTGCAAGGACCGTGGTAGTACTAGAGAGGGCTGAATTGGGATGTAGGAAGGATTTGGATGCTCATAGCCCTGTCTAGATATGCAAGTCAGCCCTGCATTTGGCACCCACTGTTATTTTAAAAATTGGCTTTTCTCTCTTTTTGCATGACAGGCCAATATCCAAAACTGACGGTGATGCTCTGTAACAGAAGACCCCTCATACTTACATACCAATACCACAGACACCGTGAGCAGAGGGCAGACCCGCTCTGCGCCGCACAGCTTTGCCGTGCAGACACACACTTCATTTTCTGTCTGCAGCACCCATCGGTACTGCCCAGCTCCCACCGGAGCCATGGGGCACTGCCTGACCATGGACACCACTTCTGGGACGTTTCTGCACGCCTGAAGGAGCAGAAGGTAATCGTGATTATACTACAAATGCCAGTAATTCCTCCTAGTTAACTCCAAGTTTGCTGATGCGAGGAGGTGAAACTGTTGCGTGAGGGTGACGGCATCCACTGTGGTTGTAAATTATAGCGGTTGGGCTTAAAAAAAGGGTTCCTGAGCCCCAGTGATAAACTCTTGGCTGCCCACAGGCTGCCTTATGACTGTGAGGTGATAATAGAGGCTTTGCATGTCTTATAAAATGTCCTAGGCATGGGCATTCAAAGCATCTTCCCAATTACTAAGTTCTCCCAACCACACTCCTAGCTGAGCCATGCAGCCGTGGGGCGAGTCAGGCCAGCACGTGGCTCTGAAAGACAAGTTTTCCACCTTAAATTAGTCATTCACCTCAGAAAACCCTCCGTCAGCTACATGAGTCGCCCTAGGCTGTTGCCTAGGTGGCTCGGACCAGGATGTCAATCATCCTGTCAATCATGCTGTCCATCATTCTCCCAGCCACCTCCACCAGTGCAGGCGGACGCCGTCGGCATCATCCAGGTGATTCCCCCACTCTTGCTGTCCCCCCACCGCCACGGCAAATGCTAGACTTGGCAGGACTCGATAAGCAGGATTTAATGGTAAGATTAGTGCAAAAATGACAGCGTTGAATAGGTAAGCAATTGCTATAAATGATTAATCGAGGGGAACAAGCCTGCAGACCTTTTACTCTCTGGGACAGACAATATTTACCTATTCTGATATAGAAACTAAGCAAGACAAGAACTGAGAACAGTATAAAGAGAAAACTCTCCTCTAGAAGAAAGTGCCCCATTCTTAAAGATCTAGCAAACCTGAGCTTATCCCAGCTAGGGTCTAGGTAGTAAAAAACCTAAATAGCAAAGCTTAGCTATCAGCTGCTAGTTGTTTAAATTTCTTTAAACTGAAGGTCTAAGGGTAATAAAAGCTGATTCTTCTGTGTGGAAGGAAGGCGGTGAATAGTGAGGGTTTGCAGTGTGTCAGCTCCATAAACAGCGAGGCTTTAGCTACAAGGTGTCCTGGATGTGGGGTGGGCAGGTAAAATGCAAAGGTCTCAGCAGCTTCCATAATAGACAGAGCTTAGAGACAGGAACATGTGGCTCCCTTAGAAAGTTTTTGGGGCTCTGTACAGGGGGATTTTATACACTTTGAGTGTCTCTTCCTACGGAAGGACACTGATGCTGTGTAAGATTGAAGGTGGTCATGGTACAGCAAAAGGACATCAGAACCTACAGAAAAGTTTACGTGGATTAATGAAAGGTGGTATTTGGTAGGCACTGGCCATCTCAGACATTTGCACAGCTACCATGCTTGATTTTGAACTTGGCAGCTCTTGTGCTGAACTCCTCAATGAAGGCAAATTGGAGACTTTGAGTTGGGTATGTGTCTATAAAAAAATACACGATTTATATGGTGCCAAAGCAGTCTTGAGAATGTGGCAGTGGTAAAAACGATGCCAGTTAAGGACTACGGCAGGACTGTAAAATCAGAGAAAAACCCAGGGGAGGAAAAGTCTTTGGGTGTTCTCAGTATCTCAGGGTCTGGCACGTGCAGGTTTCACAAGCAGTGTATTTAAATACCAGGTAACATGGGAACACAACTGGCACTGAACAAGCTGGTTAGCCTCTGGTGGTCTGTCCCACCACTTCAGAGAGATGCAGGTATGGGACACAGCTCGGACCTCTGGAGGACGGCAGCCTGAGTCAGGGAAACAGTTTCACAAGGATGAAAATATCTATAAGCCAAATCAGTGGCTGAAAAAACAGGAATGGTAACTGGAAACCCTTTAAAAGCATATTACTAGTTGCATGTGGTGCCTCGGTGATAACCATAAGAGTTAAGACAATACAAGTAATATGTGGCCATCCTATTAACAGATCAAATGATAAAACTTTAAATAATTATGTAAAAAAAAAGGATGGCTCTGTTCTCTACTACAAGAAAAGCCAAATGATATACATACAGTAACATTACCTCCTAAAGGGCTGTTCTTAAACAATTCAACCTGTGTATTCAGTATTCACCGCCCTAAGGGGTTAATACTTGTTCTTGCTTTCATTTCCTTTGCTTAATAATGGCTCTGTAACATCCTTATAAAAACAATGATGTCATGAGGTGGGAACAATTTTGAAAACATACCAAGGCAAACTATAGAAGGGAGTGGAAGAAATGAATGTCTTCCCAATGGCTTCCTTGTGACAAAGACCTGTATTTGCTTATCAAGCACTACTCGTACTGGTTGACTTTGATAGGCTTTGGGTGGAAAGGTAAGTAACACACTCGTACTCTTTCTGGTCTCTATATAGCAGTCAATTTAATTTTCACCGCTGGAGCCCCATCAGCTGCCGCAGTGGGACCGGCCATCGCTACTCACATTTCTAAGAACCTGGAGCAGTCTCGGTGACCGTAGATTTCCGCAAGCCTCTTAGGAGTGTCGCCAAAGAGGTCGGCCGCGTCCATGGCAGCGTGCAGGGAATGAAGGGTGCGAAGCACACCCAGTCTCCCCGACTCGGCAGCGAAGTGAGCCGCAGTCCAGCCCACGTCGCTCCGCAGGCAGTGCCGGGCGCCGTGATCCACGAGGAGCTTGACCAGCTCCGATTGCCCTTGCGTTGGGCAGCAAAACAGGGAGAGAAGATGCACCCGCATTAGACTTTGTACCTTCAGGATGCAGAAGACAGTCACACACAGTTGACCATAATTCCCTCAGTCATGTAACGATGGATTTTGCCCATGACCTGGCCATTTGATTTATCAAATAAAAGATGCTCATTAGAAAACGCTGATTTTTTTTTTCCAAACTAGACTGCTTCCAGAAGCATTTTACAACAAAAACAACAATAAAATCAGAAAGCTTTCTACTCATTTCTGAACAGCACATCTCAGTTACTCATTGACCAATTGGCTATTGACTATTTCGTTGTTTCATTTGGGGTTTTAGTTCAATGCAAAATAAAACTTAAACATTAAAAAAAAATGGAAAACCTGTGAACAGCTTTACTAAAACAAAGATTTGTTTGATAGGAGATAGAGAAATTGTTTTCATTTTCCTTCATATTTTTCCAACTTGTGGAATTGCTTAAAGAAGCAAAAAAAGTTATTTCTATCCCACTTCACACTGCCTTGACTGAGCTAGATCATTCCCAATGGCACCTAGGCCACGCCAGTCTCTCATCATCATTTTCCTAAATAGCTCGGTTCCCTTTGCTGTTGCCCAAATGAGTAATAATCCATCAGGGCAAAAGTAAAGCAATCACACATTTGATTTCTGAGCAAAGACAGATGCCATGATGTGAGATCTCAACATGTAACAAACGCCCTAGCACGGAGGAGTGCAGGTCCAGTTTCCCATTCTACACTGTGTACAATTACACATTATATATTGTTGCATTCACCTCTCTTCTGGGCTGCAAAAGGATATTTGACTTTAACAGACACTTCTGATGGTGAAGGACAAAGTGGGAGCTGCAAACAACTCTGGTCCTGTGTTGTTCATTTGACCAGGTGGGGCAAAGGGAGGGCAATGTAAACCACACTGTAATTATTTTGTTCTGTTTGGTTTGATAAATACCTGGTATAAACGCAGTGGGTTTGACTTTCTGCTCATTCATGCAGGTGTGCATGAGAAGTAACTCCTCTGCCCTGTATGAAGTCACCTCTTAGAAAAGTAATGTTGGGGACAAGTAGACATGCTATACGTACATATCATGTAAATTGTAAATTTTCACGTGACGGAAAAAAAAAGCTAAAAAATCACTTTGATGGTAACCCCATAAATTATTTTGGAGGCAAAGTTCCTATTTAAATTGGTATTTTTCTCATCATCACAAAATTATCAGATACAAGCTGTGACTATTGCCAGCATTAAGTGCCATCATAACAAGATGTAATTACAATCAGCATCACCTTTTATGATGCTGGTTTGCAGCGGTAACAGAGCAGAGGATGCCCTTACCTTTTGCAGCAGCCCAGTGCAGCGGGGTCCTGTCATGCCAGTCGACATCCTTGTGATTTGGGTCGCAGCGCCCTGTCCTCAAAATCTCATCCACCAGGTCATAGTCCCCCAAAGCCACGGCTTCATGGAGCTCTGTCATGGTGCCTGGTAAAAGAGCGATGGTCATTTAGTGGGTGTTCACTGATTTATCAGCTCCTCTCAAGAGCAATTTTAACACCTCAAGCAGCATCTGCATTAAAAATGAGACGTGCGCTGTGAGAAACCAGCATTTATCCAAAAATAAGGAAAAAGGAATGAGAGGAAAAAAAAATATTATCATTTATCTTCAAAACCATGATCACAGACTGATGGTGATGTTTGGTTTGCAGTCATGGAAATCTGGAGCAAAGCGCAGCCCTTTGTATAAAGGACTCGTAGATAAAACCATGTTGCATTTCTCAAGGATGTTGCTAACAAACAGCCAGCTCAGGCCAAACATTTGCCATGGGTCTGTTGGTACTCACCATGGAAACTGGCTCCTCCCTTGCCAATGCTGCAGATCCATTACTGGTAGTGTTTTATTGCAACGAAAGAAATGTCTGTGCAAGTATCTTCTGATGTCCTTTGGTGCAAATAATTGAGCTATGGCACGTTGCTTAAGAATCTAATCTCCATAGCCGTGCTTCACACTTTCCACTCTCATACAACAGACCCCCATCAAGAAATGCAAGCAGATTTTTGGTCCCCGCAAGGCTGTGGATTTCAATAATTATACCTCTGCTAGGGGATATTCCCTAGCTGCTTTTCTGGCAGGGAATTTAAGCAGCTTGCAAGGATCACTACGCTACCACATCATCTTGAGGATGGAAACACTGCAATATTTTCTCCAGTCTGGCCAAATCAATGGGGAAAAAACATCTATATTCCTGTATCGACAGCTGGTCTTGAGCTAATTAATTTAGTCCCCCTCATAAACTAGAAGCATTTTAGAATTTGGTCCAGCTTTTGCATTGCATTTACTTCATGGAGTAATTTTCACAGATTGAAAAGAGTGTGAGTTCCATGTTCAGCATGGTGGAGAGGACCAACACTGGAGCTTGCAGAGGCTGATGTGAGGGAAGGTTTGCAATCCTAAGGGCTACGTCCTGGGACCCAGAGGTGGATGGGGCCATTTCCCTGCTCTCAACTCCCATAAACATCCCAACCACATCCCAAATCCAGGCTGGAAGGACACATCACCATCTCTACCCTGCTTTCTTGTAAGAAAAAGACGAGAATCAAAGGTCAGAGGGAATCACAGCCTGCTTCAGTAGGTCCCCTGACTTAGGTGGTTGGACTGCGTAGACCAGATCCACGAGAAAGACCCATACATGCCTGCTGCTGAGTTTGACTCCTGTGTATCTGGCAATATCTGAATATATTAAAAAATACAATAAATTTTGGAGCTCCTCAGTGGGCCACAAAAGTATCATTGGCTTTGGCACGTCTCTGTTACTTTAACCATTCGTGTACAGCCTCCTCCTCCTTGTTGCCTCTCACTAACCTTGAAGAATTTGTTCCTTTAGATTAAACAGAGGTCTTCAGAGTTGTCCTCCAAAACCTTTCATCAGCATTACATCTATCCTGAAATGTTACACTTTAATGCATCCAGCCCATCACTGAAATGAGTGCTGGACAAAAGTACAGAAAAAAAAAATTTTTTTTTGGACCTTTTCATACAACTTTCTTATTTTTTCCAAGAAAAATTCAAAGTTTAAAAACATAACTTAAATTCCAAGCACCTTTGTGCTCTGCTAGCTTCTAGATCATCCCCACACACGTACACGCAAAGGGAGAGGAAGAGAAGCTGGCGATCCCACCCCAGGAGCCCACCAGCTCTCTGGGGAGACAGTCCACGGGGGCAGCTTCATAAGCAATTTCAGCCAAGCCAGATTTGACCTTCCCCCCCTCCCCTGCTGCCTCTCTTTGCTAGCCTTGGAGCTCATATGGCTGTTTCATCATCCGGATCAACCTGCTGATCTCTCAGGAAACTAATCTTTTATTATGGGCGCTGGGTTTAGGGTTAATTGCCTAAATTCAGCGTTAGCAAGGGGTCGGGGCTGTGCGAAGCGGGGGGGTGGATGCAGATCTCCCCCCATCAGTAGGGACCTGGGCTTGATCCACCTTAAACCGCTCCACAAGTTTCACCCAAAAGTGGGATCCGCTTCCTTAGGGTGTTGTTATCCCTTTCTCATAAGGAAGGAGGAAAAGATTTGCATTTTTTATGGAGGGACCTGGAGCCAAAGCGGAGCGCTCCCCCGCTGAACCCCCCCTGGACCCCTCGCCCAGCCATAAAGGGTCGCGGCTCCTCTGGGGGATGTTTCAACCTGACCGGGGATGGGGGCGGATTTTTTTTGGGTGGTGGGGGTTTTTTTCGGTTTTTTGTTTGTGGTTTTTTGTTTGGGGTTTTTTTTTGGGGGGGGTGGATTTTTGGGGGTGGTTTTTTTTGTTTGTTTTTTTGTTTGTTTGTGGTTTTTTGTTTGTTTGTGGTTTTTTGTTTGGTTGGGGGGGTGGATTTTTTTAGGAATGTTTTTTGTTTGCTTGTTTTTTGTTTGTTTGTGGTTTGGGGGTTTGGGTGGGTTTTTTTGGGGGGGGGGGGGTGGCTCCATGCCCCAAAACTTTTTTTTTTTTCCCCAGGCCCGGGGAAGACTGTCTCATCCGCAAACTAAGGCAAAGTTTGGTCCCTCCCCTTCGGGGAGAGCCCGGCACTCGCTCTGCCTCCCAGCCCGACCTCCTCCGGCCG